TCACATCCAAAACATAAAGGAAACGAACCGTATCGTTGTTTTGATATCATTTTAATTGTGCTAGTTAGGATGTGCGCATGGTGTTGTAAAATTTATAATTGCATGTATTCCAGGGTTATGGCAGTATGGTTGGAGATAAAGGAACACTAATATCTGGAGGACAAAAACAAAGAATTGCCATTGCTCGAGCTTTGATACGTCATCCTAAAATACTTTTGTTGGACGAAGCCACATCAGCACTTGATACAGAGAGTGAAAAGGTTTGTAAATTTATTATTTATAGTTTCGTATCGTATTTCTATCGTATTTAACGTTCGTATCGTATTTCTATCTATGTAATATTTGGCGAAAGTCGTAGCGTGTACCTGCATCCTTCTCTTTATATGTCTGTGAATATGTCATATGTATAGCACGTTCTTTGGCAAAATTAAATAAATAAATAACATTTGATTCGTTATTTCGTTGTAACAAGTGCAGGCTAATTAAAGCTATATGTAGGCTAGACACTAATATATATATATATATATATATATATATATATATATATATATATATATATATATATATATATATATATATATATATATATATATATATATATATATATATATATATATATATATATATATATATATATATATATATATATATATATACGTTCAGTATATACATTTTAGTGTCTAAATGTATATATACGTTCAGGATTCTACACCGTTAAATTTCTCGACGATATTTCAACGTTTTTCGAAGTTTCATATTGATTCGCTTTGAAATCTGAAAAATCTGAATTTTTGTGTAAATTCTCTACGAAAAAACCGAAAACGAGACTATAACAGCCCATGTTGGTGTATTTTCTTTTAGGTTGTTCAAGAAGCATTGGACAGAGCATGCGTGGGTCGAACAACATTAATAATCGCTCACAGATTATCTACAGTACAAAAAGCAGACATGATAGCAGTTATAAAATCTGGTCACGTTGTTGAAAAAGGAACACATCAAAAATTGTTAGAAATGAAAGGTGTTTATTATTACCTCCAACAAGCTCAAGCTTAACGTTCAGCAATTAGTGGATAAGTAATTTCTAGTTCTGAGTAAGTTTGACCGTTTCAAATGTTCAAAATTCGTGTGTGTTTTTTTTATTTCGACGTATTTATAATGACTAGTTGCTATACTATAGTATTCAATTTAGTATAACATCAATTCGTGGTTCACTGTACACATAGTCACAATATATATGACAGTCTAGTTGATGTGTAGAGCAAAATGAAGAAAGCATTTGAAGCATTTGAACTCATTTCAATTATTGTGTGCATGCATATTTAAATCATTCGTGCTTAGCAGCCACATGCAGTGAAGTGCCAAAGTGTTAAGAATAATAAGACATGCATTTATTTCGACTCAGTTGGGCGTGCATTCGCAACTCTCAACTTACATGTTATTGAAATATTTTTCTGTTAGTTGAATGGGTAATGGTCTGATTCAAATTTGTTTTAAACATTTAAAGTCATGTGTTTATTTCAAAAATGTAGGTTTTAAACTAAAGGTTACGTAACTAATGATACCAAAGATTACGTAACTATATATAATGATGTCACAAGATTTTATTGCATAAATATTTGAATGTTAAAATTTAAAATTTTATTTGGTCATCCATGCTAGATTGGTATGTATACTACAAACAAATTATTTCATTTCATTTGTTTATTATATGTTGTAGACTATATATATATTTGTATATTTACATAATTATAGTAAAAAGTTGAGAATTGAATATTAAATATATCAAATGAATCATGAGTGGGACTTTATATCAAATATGTCATTTTAAAATCACACTTTGCAAAAGTGTTCTTTGTACAGAGCCAAACCTCTACTTCTGGCCATAATTAGAAGCGAGTACTGCAGATGAATCTTGAAACATTCAAAATTTTAGTAATTAGTTGTCTCGGGGTCTGAATAATTTTGTGCATGGCTGGTTGAGAGACTCAGTCTGTCTCTTCGTTCCAGCGTGATCCTGATTCGTGCGTCATTATAATCATAATTGCCGATAAATTATCCGATTCAAATTTGTTTTAAACATTTAAAGACTTTAATGTTTTGATTTCAAAAATGCAGGTTTTAAACTAAAGGTTACGTAACTATAACACGAAATATAGTTTACACTAAAACTGCCCCCGGCTGATTATGGTGTACTATCTATAGCTGTTATTAAAAATGATCATGCCTTATGGCTTACAAATATTAATACGACAAAATATTATTACTTTCTGGCTTTCTTTTAAAACGCTTAAAAGATTGATAAAATTGCACGAACTTTAAAAATGAAACAGTAACCACATGTAACTTGGTCCTTGTGCGTCCATCCGGCTGAAGGAATGGCGCTTTTCAATATATAATGGAACAATGACTATGAGTCCCTTGTTACAAACGTTTTATAATGTGACCGTTGTCTGTTAAGCTTTGCTCGATTTCTTATATTTGTATTTGTTTTTGACTGACTGATGTGTGAACCAAGTCTTTTGGTTCCTGTTTCGATTAATGTGACAAATAGTATAGTTGATACTTGATAGACACGGAGTTTTTAATCTTGTGTTACTGTTTAACCTTTAAATCTTTTCATTATTTAACGGATTGCAACCTGCATGTACCTCACAATTAGTCTATTAATAGACACGTAAAACAGACCATAGAAATAAAATGCCGTTTGACAAGGTGTTGACCCAAGCGAATAATAATTCTTACAGAAAGCAACCTTTGAACCCTCACCTTTTAAACTTGCGCAGCTACGGCGCTACGCCAATAATTCACTTGCCTTTTATTATAAAATTTGAACCCTCAGCTTTAAAACTTGTGTCACTTGTGGCCTTTCGGCTGTAATATATGAACTCAGTTGCTTCTAATCTTGATAGCTTTAACAATTTATGCTTGGCAGGGACTTCAATACCTCCCATTGTTTTTGCGATATTACCCACCTGCGGGCAAAAAACTTAAAAACTTAAATTGCTATGCCTCTGGTATATACCGTTGATATCATATTACGTGCGGGGACTTCAATATATGCCTCCTCAGGTTTTGGCCCTCTGGGGTCAAAACCCTGCTGGGGCAATGATATCAAAGATTGCGTAACTAATGATATCACAAGATTTTATAGCATTAAAATTTCAAATTTTATGTGGTCATCCATGCTAGATTGGTATATGTATATACTACACACACACACACACACAC